ACTCTGTCCTCTAGGGGCGCTGTGGGTCAGAGTAGACTCCACAGCAATGGGTTTGGATTTGCTTTGGTGGTTGTTGCTCACTGGTGATGAGTGGATTCTGATACATTTTCACCTCACTCGTCACCAAGTAGAACTGCTTCGTGGGGTTTTCAAAGCTGTGACCTTAAGGCCAGCAGGTCACCAGGCGTCCGTTCCACAGTACAGACGGTGGATCCAAGCTTCCAGCCTTCGGTTAGCAGCCAAGCACTTACCTGTCGTGCCACCAGGGTTCCTTGTTTGCACAGTACGTTTCTCAGCATTGAGAATCTAGAGAGTTCATACTACAGTGAAAGCTGACGTAGCACGTCCATGCCTCTCCCCAGCCATGCCGGTGACGGTGACGCGCACGACCATCACCACCACCACGTCGTCCTCCTCCGGCCTGGGCTCCCCCACCATCGTGGGGTCCCCCCGGGCGCTCACGCAGCCCCTGGGCCTCCTCCGTCTACTGCAGCTGCTGTCCACCTGTGTGGCCTTCTCGCTGGTGGCCAGTGTAGGAGCCTGGGTGGGGACCATGGGCGACTGGTCCATGTTCACCTGGTGTTTCTGCTTCGCCGTGACCCTGATCATTCTCATCGTGGAGGTGTGCGGGCTCCAGCCCCGCTTCCCGCTGTCCTGGCGCAACTTCCCCATCACCTACGCCTGCTACGCCGCCCTCTTCTGCCTGTCCACGTCCATCATCTACCCCACCACGTACGTCCAGTTCTTGCCCCATGGCCGCGTCCGGGACCATGCCATCGCCGCCACCGTCTTTTCCTGTGTAGCCTTTGTGGCTTACGCCACCGAAGTGGCCTGGACCCGGGCCCGGCCCGGCGAGATCACCGGGTACATGGCCACCGTGCCAGGCCTCCTCAAGGTGCTGGAGACCTTTGTGGCCTGCGTCATCTTCGCCTTCCTCAGTAACCCGGGCCTGTACCAGCACCGGGCGCCGCTGGAGTGGTGCGTGGCCGTGTATGCCATCTGCTTCATCCTGGCGGCCGTGGCCATCCTCCTGAACCTGGGCGACTGCACCAACGCGCTGCCCATCCCCTTCCCCAGCTTCCTCTCGGGCCTGGCGTTGCTGTCCGTCCTGCTCTACGCCACGGCCCTCGTCATCTGGCCCCTCTACCAGTTTGACGAACGCTACGGCGGCCAGCCGCAGCGGTCCCGGGATTCCTCCTGCAGCTACTCACACGTCCACCGCATCTGCCCCTGGGACCGCCGCCTAGCCGTGGCCATCTTGACCGCCGTCAACCTGCTGGCCTACGTGGCCGACCTGGTGTACTCTGCCCGCCTGGTCTTCGTCAGGGTCTGAGAAGCTGCCCAGTGGCTCCCGGCGCCCCTCTCCCCAACCTCCCGTCTCCTCGGGTTTCTTGACTCGATTTGTGTACCATCTTCCGTTTCCTCTGCCGTCTCCCTCCTCCTCACGCTCCTCCTGCCGTACGTCCTACGTGCCCCTCCTCCTGACGTCCATCCTACGTGCCCCTCCTCCTGACGTCCATCCTACGTGCCCCTCCTCCTGACGTCCATCCTACGTGCCCCTCCTCCTGACGCCGTCCGTCCTACGTGCCCCTCCTCCACCTTTCTCGTTGCCCCTTTGCTCCCTGTTGTGTTCTGAGCCATTTCGTCCATCTTTCCTCGGGGCTGCCGTACGGTTTGTCCTGTTTCCTCCTCCCATCTGCCTTCTTCCTGTGTCCTTTCCCCACCTTCCTGTCTCCTGTTTCCTTGGGAGCCCTGAGACTTCTTTCTCCCCTCCCCCACCTCCAAAGGTGCTGAGTTCACATCCCACCACCCCTCATTGCAGCTGTTCGTGCCCTTGGCCTTCTAAGGGTCTCATTGCCAAAGCATGCCTGCTCGCTCTGCCCGTGCCTTAGTTGAAGTGTGTGTGTGTGTGTGTGTATATTTTGGGGGGGATCGTTACGGATTGGGCCCCCTTTCTCCCAATGGAGGAGGGTATACTGTACACCCCCCTTTAAGTTTAAAAAAAAAAGAAACAACTCTAGAGGTTAATGATTTCTAGTAGGCTGGAGGCTTTAAGCACTGACCCTCCAGAGTTTTTGTCAGGCTTACAAAAAACCAAACACTGCCTAGAGGCCATCTTAAAGGGAACAAGTGGTAGATGCTTTGGTGTCCGGGAGCCCCTACAAAGCAGCCAGGTGCCATGCCACACTGTCTTGAAGACAACTGTTTGAAGTACACCTGAGGGGCAGTGACGTGGCCTTCCAGCCTCAGTGTTAAGAATCATGTATCCTTTTTTTTCTGGGCGGACAAAATGGCCACTGCCGGCCTTAAAGGCAATGTCAGCCTGATTTTTTTTTCTTTCCTGGTCACAAAAACGTTACTGGGTGGTCTTTAAGAGGGCCATTTCTTTTAAATTTCTTTTTTTGGGGGGGGGGTGCCCCAAGAACCGTATTGCTTGAGTGTGTGGTGTGCACGCACGTGTTTCTGTGTGCTAGTGACAACTGCTGCTGCTTCCTGCTTCTCTGGGACTCACCGCCATAACGTGATATATATAAATGTATAAATATATATTTTATTTTTTTTTTTAAATTCCCTGGAGCTTCCGGTTCCCCTCGACTCCCGCCGTCAGTCATACAAGGCTCGTGCCTTCCTCTACTCCCACATTCATAACATTCGATTTCTTTTTTTTTTTTTTACGTCAATATAACATTAAAGGAGGACTGGTGTGTTCTTTATTACCGGGGAGGGCTCCAGAGTGGGGGCAAGGCCCCGATTCCGAGGTCAGGTGGGAGGAGGGGGTTGGAGACAACCTTGGCTTGTGTCCGGACACGGGAGCGAGTGAGTTGAGGTCATCGGAGTCCTCCCGCAGACCAAGCGAGCTGGTGGGGTACAGAGCAATGAGAACTCGGCCCCTGTGGGTCCCAGCTGCCGTTGATTGATTCTGACCCGTGGGGCCCCCGCGTCTGTCAGGGTACCACTGCTCTCAGGAAGCTTTCAAAGACCGGTTTTGCAGAGGCAGCTAACCAGACTTCCTTCCAAGGCGCCTGTGGACTCGAACTCCCAGCCCTCTGAGCACGTCAACCGCCAGCCCCACCCAGGGAGTCCACCGCAGAAACAGTCTGCAAGGGGAGTCTGGCAGGTCTCCTCTCAGTTCCCTCCTCCCACCTTCCTCCCGGTAGAGGCCCCTCGAGAACTCAGGACTTGACCATACCTGCCGCCCTCTCCTGAGTCACTGCTCATCAAACACTCCATTTTTCCTCCTAAACGCCACTCGTACCTGGTGCCTCCCCAGCCCCATTTCATCTTTCACCTGGGCTATTCGCTGCCTCGACTGCTGGTCCCAGACGCGCTCTTGAGGCACCCACGTCTCATCCCACCTCTCTGCTCAAGGCTTTCCGCAGCCCACGCCACAGAGCCTACCGAGTACGATCAGAGCCCGTTCAGGATCCGAAGTCCCCCATTCAAGACCTTCAGGCTCTGCTGGCCCAGGACTCCCTGGGTGGGGCACACACCATTATACACTCAACCACTAACCGAAAGCTTGGTGGTCAGCCAGTGCCGGGTTACCCAACAAGCAAGTTAAGCACGGTTTACTTGTGCTTACTCATCTGTAACAATGTCCCATCTGTGCACCACATCAAAGATCCTGCTTCTAGCTAGGGCTAGCATCTTTCTCCGAACCCCACAGCACCTTCCTACAGAATCAAAGCCTCTTTTCAGAGTTATAATCCCCGACAGGGACAGAGTGCCTAATAAATGAGGTAAACACGGGCTTACTTGTGCTTACTTCATTGCAGTGAACACTAACGTGTTGCACCACAGAGGCAGTGAAACTCGTGAAACTGTCAAAACATGTCAAAAAACAAACTCACACAGCGGCCACAGGCCTTTTTGTCACGCAGGGCATTTTCTCAGGCTTCCAGAGTGAAATGACGTCAGACAGAAATGGAAAGTCACAGAACACATGCTGATTTAGGAGTCTGCCACGGACCCAGCAAGACCAGGTTCCAGTATTTCAACAGCAAACCCACTGCATGGAGTCCAGTCTGACTCACAGCGCCTCTAGAGGACAGAGTGGAACTGCCCACAGGGTCTCCAAGGCTGTCAGTCTTCACAGAAGCAAAGCCCAAACCACACCCACTGCCCTGGAGTCCATTCTGACCCACAGCGCCCCTAGAGGACAGAGTGGAACTGCCCCACAGGGTCTCCAAGGCTGTCAGTCTTCACAGAAGCAAAGCCCAAACCACATCCACTGCCCTGGAGTCTATTCTGACCCACAGCGCCCCTAGAGGACAGAGTGGAACTGCCCCACAGGGTCTCCAAGGCTGTCAGTCTTCACAGAAGCAAAGCCCAAACCACATCCACTGCCCTGGAGTCTATTCTGACCCACAGCGCCCCTAGAGGACAGAGTGGAACTGCCCCACAGGGTCTCCAAGGCTGTCAGTCTTCACAGAAGCAAAGCCCAAACCACATCCACTGCCCTGGAGTCTATTCTGACCCACAGCGCCCCTAGAGGACAGAGTTTCCATAGAGTTTCCAAGGCTGTCAATCTTTATCAAGTGGACTGCCCTCTTTCTCCAGCACAGTGGCTGGTGGGTTCCACCTTTCAATTAGCAGTTGAGCGCTTCACCACTGTGCCACCAGGGCTCGTTTCCAGCACCACAGCCCTATACAACCCTCTCTGAGCAGGGTTCAGGACTCCCTGTCGTCCAGGGAGAAGTCACCAGGCACACTTCGGAAGTCACCGATTCCTGGCCCAAGACTAACGCCGACTTTGCTGAGGAAGTGAATAGCTGTGGGACTGCACAGCTATAAACAAACGGCCCTCGCCCCGCGGGGCCTCGGGAAAACAGCCCAAGGAACGAAGGGATGCGAAACCCATGACAAACTGTTCGCTACAGATTAACAAGTAAGCACAAGTTAGCCCCTGCTTTACTTATTGGGTAATCTGCTTCCAACTCAAACTGCCCCAGAGGTGCCTCAGACACAGGCCTGGTGGCTGCTTCCAAAAGGCCACAGCCTTGAATACTCACCTTATGGAGAAGCTCCTGTCTGCACATGGGTGCCAGGGGCTGGAATCAACCGGAGGGGTGCTAACAAGGTCTGACCCTGCCTACGTTTGCGCCATTCATTCCACCTGCTCCCAGCTAAGCTCCCTGCCGCGGCAGCCCTTGATAAAGATTCAGGGAATTCCCCCAGCCACCGCCACCCTGCAGACGGTCACTCTCCCATCTGAGGACAGTGACAGGTAGATCGGTGAGTGCCGGGAAATGCCAGGGTCATCCGACCCATTTGCCACACCTACACCTGCACAAGCCACTGGGAAGAGGTACTGCAAGGAGCCCTGGGGGCCTCTGGGGCTTTCAGCTGCTAAGCCAAAGGTTGGGGGTTTGAACCCACCCAGTGGCTCTGCAGGAGAATGACCTGGAGAGACAGAGACCAGAACTAGATGGTTCCCTGCTACCACAACTGCCCTTCCTGAGCGGGGTCAAGACAGATGGTCCTGGAGAAAGCAGGAGGCAACTGCAGAACAAAGTTTAAGATCTTATTAAAAAATAAATAAAAGCAGACTTACTGACCTGAGGAGGCTCCCAGTCTCGTTTTAAACTTTAAACTGAAACTAATCCCAGAGGTCACCTTTCATTTCAAGTAAGTAACAGATTGACCCATAAACTGTCTCATCCCTGAGTACTGTATTCTTTTATATATTTTTCAACATAAAATAATTTATTTGAGATCAAACGGTCACCCTTTGCACCAAAGCAAAAATGAGAAGGTCAGGAGGGGACAGGGAAGTGAGAATATTGGCCACGGAACCGGCAGAAGGAACTAATGAGAGTGTTGACACAGTGTGGAGGGTGTAATCAATGTCACTCAACAGCTTGCGTAGAAATCGTCAAATGGAAACCCCATTGTACAGAGACACACACGCCTATATACAACTACAGCCTTGCAAACGCAGCGGGGCAGTTCTGTCGCACGGGGTCAGGTCCCTGTGGGTTAACGATTGACCCAACGTTGCAAGTGAGGGAAGGGTCACCTGGAACCACTCCGTCCCTCCCGGTGAAGCAAGGCTTCCATTGGCCTCTGCAGCGACCTCCCCTCGCTGTGACCGACACCCCTCCCCGCCTTCTCCAAGGGTGACTGTCCTCGCCTCCGGCATCCCGTGCTACACCCCTCTCTGGGCGGCACCAGAACAGGCCTAG